CCAGCTGCATCTTCACCTCGAGGCTCAGCCAGGAAAAGATCCTCTTCCAGGCTGCCTCAGCATCGGCAGAATCGTGTCCTCGTGGTTGGAGGACTGATGTCCCTGTGGGCTTGCTGGCTGCTGGCCAGGACTGCTCTCAGCTCCTGGCGGCCACTGTCAGGTCCTTGCCATGTAGCCCCTCATAGGCCGCCTCACATTCTCAGCCTCAGTTTCTGACATCAACAGGGCCCTTTTAAAGGCTCCCCTGATTAGGCCAGGCCCACCTCCGTAAGCTCCCTCTTGATGAATTCAACGTCACCTGCCCAGGGAGTGGTATCCCTCATATTCACAGGCCTGCCCAACTCATGGGGAGAGGGTTATCCAGGGCGTGTGCCCCAGGGGGTGCGAATCGTGGGGCCGGCTTAGGATTCTGCACACCACACCGACCTCCTGGACCCCTTTTCGGACTTCTCTGCTTCCCGGCCATGGCACCCCGGGCAGGCGGCCTCACCCCTCTGAGCCTCAGTTTCCCATTTGTGAGGAGGGTGATGCTCCTAGGCAACCCCTCTAAGGGCTGGTGTTGACGGTGTTGTGAGCCCAGGGAGAGGGCTGCCAGAAATGGAACAGGCTGGGAAACCAGCGAAAATTCTGCCCCGGAGCAGCAGGAGCAGTAGCCAGAGTTGCTGTCGCTGTCACCAGTCAGGCCCTGCGCTCACCTCCCCTGCCTCTCTGTTACAGGAAGCCTTGGGAACAAGTCCCCAAAAAGCCAAAGCGGAAGAAAAGTAAGTTGGGCCGAGTCAGGAGGGGTGGGGCGGTGGGAGCCAGGGGCTCTGATGCTCCTGCCCTCACTGCTCCTTCGGGTCCTTCTCTCGGGGACCATTAGCCACGTGGGACAAGACAGGCTGGGCAGGGCCTGGCCAGGGTGCTCTCAGCTTCCCGGCTCAGCCAGAAAGGCTGAGTCACTGCCCCAGGCTGCACAGCAGGAAAGTGGCAGGGCCAGCGGCAGAGCCGAGTCCGGTGTCACCCCAGGGGTGCCCTTAGCTCCTCCGTGCTCCAGCCCAGCGCATGGGAGGTGGTCCGGGGAGGGCGGGGAGAGCAGAGGGAACAGCTGTGCCAAGCCCTACAGGGCATGTCGTGTGCCAGACTCGACAGGAGGCCTGGAGCTTGTCCCCCCAACCATGACCTCCGAGCCCCAGGCTGTGGCTCTCTGGCCATGTCCAGGACGAGGAGGGCCAGCCTTCTGGTGGCAACGAGCCCCTCCCCTTCTCACAGTTCTCAGAGCAGGGGCGAGCTGAGCCATGACGCCCAAATCCCAGAGGGCTGGGGAGTGAGATCGGAGACGAGCGCTGGCAGAGGAGGTGGCCGGGTGTGCCCTCCTGGCCTGGCCGTCCGTGGGTGGAGCCCCCCCACACCCTCCCTAGACCCATGGACCTTTCTTGGCCCCTCCTCATCTCCCAGCCTGGAGGGTTGAGGGCGCCCCTTCCTCCCCTTCAGCGGCGACACAGGACCAGCACACACAGCATAGGTGCCATTTCTTGGGCACTGCCAGCGTGCGCCGCACTGTTCTGTGCCCTGTCGACGTCTTCACTCCCTGACCTCCGCCCCAGCAGCCCTCAGGGAATGGGGACCCTTATTCCCTCCTGGCCCAGAGCGGGTGACTGAGGTCCAGAGAAGCCAAGTCCGTTTCCTGGAGCCACCCAGCCAGGAAGTGGCAGAGCCAGGATTTGAACCCCGGTGGTCTGGCTCCACTGTGCCCACGCCCTCGCAGCATCCTCTCATCTGGCAGCCCCTACTGTGTGCCAGGCCCTGTGTAAGCACTGAGGATGCAGGAGAAACAGCAGAGATAAATGCCCCGCCCTTGGGGAGCTGATGGTCTCGCAGAGGAGACAGACAGACAGTAACATAGAACCAAAACCCACAGAGGGTATCTCGGTGCTGCCTGGAGAGAAGGGACAGCAGGGAGGGGCTGTTAGCCTGAGGGAGACACCTGAGTAAAGAGGAGGCAAGGCAGTTACCTGGAGGAAGCGGACACAGCCTGTGCAGAGGCCCTGAGGCAGGACCACAGCAGGCTCATTTGAGGAACAGGCAGGAGGCCATGTGGCTGGAGTAGAGTGATGAAGGGAAGAGTGGGAGGAGGTGACAGGGAAGGACATGCAGGGCCTTGTGGACCTCAGGGAGGACTTTGGTGTTGACTCCCAGTGAGGTGGGACCCCTGGTGGATTCTGAGCAGAGGAGGGACAAGACCAGACTCAAATGTCCACGGGGGCCCTCTGGTGGCTGCGGGGGGAACAGACTGTAGAGGGGGCAAGGGTGGGAGCCTGGAGGCCAGGGCCGAGGGACTGAGCTGGTCCAGGCTGGAGCGGGTGACTTGATGAGGGTGATTATGACAGTAACAAGCAGCTGATCATTCCTGCACACCCACTGTGCGCCAGGCCTGTATGATCTGTGACTCAGCCAGTGAAGACGGTCTCTGGCGAGTCTCTTATCTCCAGGGTGGGTCTCACCTCTCCGAGCCTGTTTCTTCACCTCTCCCCTGGGGACAGGCCTGGGGAGACAAGGCTCCGGGAGGTTGGTGCCAGGGCCAGAGCCGAGCACCGCCCCTCACACCCGGCCCCGTGTGCGCAGGGCGGCGGCGCAACGTGAATTGTCTGAAGAATGTGGTGATCTGGTACGAGGACCACAAGCACCGCTGCCCCTACGAGCCGCACCTGGCCGAGCTGGACCCCACCTTTGGCCTGTACACCACGGCCGTGTGGCAGTGCGAGGCCGGCCACCGCTACTTCCAGGACCTGCACTCGCCCCTGAAGCCGCTCAGCGACTCGGATCCCGACAGCGACCAAGGTGGGTCTCTGGGGCCAGAGCCCCCGGTGTCTGGGGGCTCTGCAGCCCCTCGGGGGGGCACCCTGGGCTCACGGCCCTCCTGGGTCTCGCCAGCCTTGCAAACATCACAGCAGCTGGAAGGGCAGTAACGTGGGATGGACTTGCCATCTTTGAGTCCTCACGGAGCCCCAAAGGTGGTCCCCAGTTTACAGAGGGACAGCTGAGGCCAGGTGCCAGCAGACTGGGCTGGGGCCCAGGGAGGGGCGGGCGCTGGGCCTCAGACCCACCAGGGTGGCACTGCTCTCCTGGCCTCTTCCTCCGCCTTATCTTTTCCAGATCTGTCCCACTTCTGGGTCTGTCTCTTCCAGTCTCATCCTCTTTCTCTCTCCAGCCTGTTGTCCTCCTTACTCCTCACCCCTTCGTGTCTCTCCCTGCCCCTCTCCTGCAATCCCCCAGTGGTCACATGCATGGGCTGCCTGCCTGCTGAGGACGGGCTGCGACTCAGGTCCGAAGGCCACAGTGGTCCTGATGAGGGAGCAGATGGGACGCTGGGGGTGGCAAGGGGCTGCCCGTCTGCCTCAGGGGCTTGGCATCAGCTGAGAGGAGCACGGGGCCTGCTGCCAGGCGCCCTGCCAGGCCCGAGGGTGTGGCCAGTCACCAGGGCTGAACCCTTGCTGGCAGGCGTCTCGGAGCAGGTGGCGTCCCAGCTGGCCGAGGGGAAGCTGTGGGCGAGAGGTGTTCCGGGCGGGCCAATGGCTGTCCTGCTGTGCTTCAGCCAGGCTCCCTGTGTGCAGCCTGCCCCTCAGCCATCCTGTCCGGCCCCTGTGCCAGGCCCACCCCAAACCATGCTGACTTCTCCCCACAGCCACGTCACCAGCCCCACTTTGCAGTCAAGGAGACTGAGGCCCGGGAGTAACGTAACGGGCCCCACTGGTGCTGGGTAAGGCTGGGATGGGGTGGCACCCAGAGATGCCCCCTGGGACCCCAGCCCACTTTGACACTCATGGCTGCCAGATCTGGGCTCTCGGGAATGAAAGCTGGGATCCAATGAGCAGGTCTGCTGTGGACCCTGGGGGCCCTGGGGCATGGCCGTTCCCCCAGCAGCATCTTTATCAGCTCTGTGCCTGGGTGGCCCTGCCCCCTCTCACTCAGTACAGGGACCTCCCACCAGGCGTGCTCGGCCATTTCTGTGGTTAGGGTATTATCATCCAGGGAGAAGTCCAGGGTTGGCCTTAACAGCCAGGCCCAGCCGCATGCCCTGGCCGTGCCCCCAACTCACCAGTGGCCGCCCCACCTTCAGGCTGGAGCCAGGCGCTCTCGGCCCCCTGTAGATTACAGGGTGTTAGGAGGAGGGGCTGATCCCCCCACCCCATCCCTGCTGCCACCCCAGGGCTGTGAGTCGGGGGTGGGACATTAGGATGCTAATGATAATGGAAACGTTGACGGGGCTCGCTCTGAGCTTGGTACTGTATTAAACCCTTTATGTGTATTTACTCATTAAATACTCCTGAGGCAGGTGCCAAGTTGTCCCCGGGCCCAGAGAGGTTACATAAGGGGCCCGCATGCGCACAGCTGCAGGAGTGGGCACCAGGATTCCCCTGGGTGCCCTCCATATGGCCCTCTGGGGGCATGGGACCCTCCTCCCCAGCCAGTGTGCCCCAGCTTGCCCTCACTTTTCCCGTCCCCAGTTTCTCCCTGGACGTTAGCACCAACACCCGGGCAGATGTGTGTCCTCTGGACCCCATCACAGCCTTCGTCCGAGATGTATTCGTTTCGGCAAAGGTGGGCTGTACCAGGCAGCATTCTGGGCACCAGGGCCTGCACACAGGGACCCCCGTCCTTGTGGAGTTTATGGTCCCGAGGGGAAGCAGACAGTAAACAAGATAAGTAAAATTTAGAGTCCCGTGGAAGGTGGAAAGTCTTTGGGGGCAAAATAAAGGAGAGACAAGGATGCGGTTTGAGACAAGGTGGTCAGAAGGGTGCTCTCTGAAAAATACCATTTGATGAAAGGTGTGATGGAGATGAGGGAGGGAGCCCATGCAGGTGTCTGAGAGAAGAGAGTTCAGGCAGAGCCAATGGCAAGTGCAAAGGCCCTGAGGCAGGAACCTGCCTCGTGTCCCTAGGCACAGGAGGGAGGCTAATGGGGCTGGAGGGGAGGAGGGGCTGGAGGTGACTGGTTGGGGGGCAGACATGTGGGTTGTGTGGCCATGGTGAGGGCTTTGGCTGCTATGCCAAGTGAGTTGGGAAAGATGTTAAGTGCGGTAAAGCCAGCTGCTGAAACAGACACGCCCCAGCTCTTATGACCTAGCGCAGTGGTTCGGTTCCCATGGGACACAAAGTCCCGTGCTCCCCACCCGCAGGGTTTTTTCCATCCCGAGTCCCAGGTTCTTTCCGTCCTGTGGCTCCAGCCTCCTTCTGAGTCCTGGCTGGCTGGTGGGGACAGAGATGTGGAAGCTGGTGGCTGGGAGCTCCTTTCCACTCAGCCCCCATGGGGACTCAGCTCTGTGGTCACACCCATCTGCAAGGGCTGCTGGGAAATGTAGTCCACTGGGTGCCAGGAGGAAGAGAGGGGGTTTGCTGAGCAGCTGGTCTGTCTCTTGCACAGGAAGTGATGAGCCCAGGAAGTGATGAGCCGGTTGTTGGTAGAAGAGGGACTGAGCTGAGAAGGTGCTCACAGGCTCTCTGGCCGCTGTGAGGAGGACTGACTGTGGGGTGATGGTGGGAGCCGGGGGACCAGGGAGAAGAGACTTCATGGTCCCGGCAGGGAGATGCTGCAGCCAGGGCTCCCAGGGCAGGTGGGGTGAATTCTGGATACAGCGCCGGCAGCTTGTGCTGATGGATTGGAAGTGGGTGTGGGAGAGAGAGAAGTCGGAGGGAGCCCCGGGACTTTGGCTGGAGCAACTGGAAGGACAGAGCTGCCATCACGGAGGTGGGGACGCCTGGGAGCGGCACGGGCTTTCTCTGAGGGACATTCAGAGCCCAGCATTGCTGGGCGGAGTCTGAGATGCCTGTGAGACCCCCGGGGGGGGCAGCGGAGGGGGCAGTGGGACGGAAGAGTCCCAGCTCCATGGGGGGGTCCAGGCGGGAGCTGTGGGGCCCCTAGACAGCTTTAGGGTGGGGACTGATTACCAGAAAGAACAAACAGGTGATGGAGGGTGGAAAGCCTCAGCCCCACCCCCAGTCCCCAGGGAGCAGAGGGGGCTGGAGACTGGGGTATAAAAACTCTTGAACAGCGAGGCTCTGGGAGCTTCTGGGTTGGTGACCACCTCAAGGTACTGGAGGGTGGCACGCTGGGCGAGGGCCTGGCAGCTCCGGGCTCCCCCCATGCCTTGCCCTCCACCTTACCATCTCTTCCATCTGGCTGTTGCTGAGTTGTATCCTTTACCATAAAACTGTAGTTGGAAGCAGAGCACTTTCCTGAGTTCTGTGAGTCTTTCTAGCAAATTATTGGACCTGAGGAGGGGGTCATGGGACCCCCAACTTACAGCCAGAAGGACGGTGGCCTGGGACTTGCAGCAGGCATCCGAAGCCGGGGCAGCCTTGCGGGCCTGAGCCATTTCACGTATGGGGTCTGCCGCGCTCTCCAGGCAGCTAGTGTCAGAACTGGGGTGAATTGTTGGACGGTATTTAACACCTGGCCGAGCCCCGGGTGGAGGGTCTGAGGAGAGGCCTGGCCTGAGCCTTCCAGAGCCGTAAGAACAAAAGAGGCTGAAAGGGAGCCGCCAGGAAGGGGCCAGGAAACCAGAGTGCAGATGTGTCTGGAGGCCGATGGAGGCGACCATCTCCAAGGAGCAGGGGCGCACAGGGAGGACGGGGACTGAGACCCGAGCACTGTCATGGCAGCAGGGGCCTCCCAGCACCCAGCCCTCGTGAGCCGTCAGCACCACCAGCTGCCGCGGCCACAACTGTAACCGCCCCTCTCCTCTGTCACCGCAGTGGGCAATGGCCTGGCAGCCGGCAGCTCCGACTTATCCGGCTCCAGCTCGGGCTCCGACTCCGAGGAGCCCCCTGAGGGTCAGCCGGCCAAGGTGACAGCGGCAGCAGCGGCAGTCACCCCGACCAGCCCTGCGGGCAGCAGCGGGCTCATCACGCAGGAGGGCATGCACATCCCCTTCGACGTCCACCACGTGGAGAGCCTGGCTGAGCAGGGCACTCCGCTGTGCCCCAACCCAGCGGGCAGTGGGCCCGAAGCCCTGGAGACGGTGGTGTGTGTGCCGGTGCCCGTGCAGGTGGGCCCGGGCCCCGGCACCCTGTTCGAGAACATGCCCCAGGAGGCACTGGGCGAGGTGGTGGCCAGCTGTCCCATGCCGGGCATGGTGCCTGGCTCGCAGGTGATCATCATCGCGGGCCCCGGCTATGACGCCCTCACAGCCGAGGGCATCCATCTCAACGTGGCCGCAGGCAGCAGTACCCCCGGTGGGAGCCTGGGCGACGAGGTGCCCTGTGCCATGATGGAGGGTGTGGCAGCCTACACGCAGACAGAGCCCGAGGGCAGCCAGCCCAGCACCCTGGACCCCACCGCCGTGGCAGACATTGAGACCAAGAAAGGTCTGGGGGCTGCGCTAGTCAAGGGCTGCGGTGGGGCCTGGGAGGGGGAGGGTGAGGAGGGGCCCCGAGCCTGACAGCCTTAGTCCCCACAGCTACCCGCCCCGTGTCCACCCCCGTAGAGAAGGAGGACCTGTACATGCTCAAGAAAGAGGAGAAGGAGGAGCCAGTGGCCCCGGAGCTAGCCGAGCTGGCGGCAACTGTGCCTGAGAGCACTGAGCCCGAGGCCGAGGCAGACGGGGAAGAGCTGGACGGCAGCGACATGTCGGCCATCATCTACGAGATCCCCAAGGAGCCCGAGAAGTGAGTGCTGGGGCTGGCGGGGCAGGGGCGAGGAGCGGCCCGTGGGCCCTCCGCCTGCCCGGTGTAGGAGTCCCAACGCCATGGGCCCCTTCTTCTCCAGGAGGCGGCGGAGCAAGCGGGCGCGGGTGATGGACGCCGACGGCCTGCTGGAGATGTTCCACTGCCCCTACGAGGGCTGTAGCCAGGTCTACGTGGCCCTCAGCAGCTTCCAGGTGAGGCCACCACCCGAGCGGGCGGCGGGGCCTGCTGCTGTGTCCGGCTGCCGGGGCGCTGGCGTCTGGGCCGTGTGGCTCGTGGAGGACCCACCTGGCTCTGCTGGGTGCCACTAGCCTGGCTCCCATGCACCCACCCGGCCTCAGAGAGGCAGGTGTCACCTCTGTGTCCTCCCTTCCCACTCTCCAGCCCACCCAGCATGCCTCAGCCAGCCCTGGCCTCTCTGCACAGCCCAGTGGCTGCCTGGTCCGGACCTGCTGCCTCCCCACACACTCCCCCTCTTCCAGCCCTTCTGAACTCCTCCTGCCCTGGTCCAGGCCCCCCTGTTGGCTGGGGATGCCTCCTCTCCAGGCTCAGCTCAGCACGCCCCTCCACCGGGAAGCCCACCCTAGTCCCCCAGGGCCCCTGGAGTCAGGATGGGCTGCCCCGAGGGCAGAGACAGGGTCTTGTCACATCCCCACTCCTGGCACAGGAGGCGGCACCAGTGGGCCTTCGAATTTGCCGAGTCATGTTCTCATTAAGCTTGTACCGAGCACCTGCTGGGTGCCAGGCCTGGGGCCGGGCACTGAAGCCGCAGCCCTTCTCATGAGTTAAAAGATGAAGGGCCGGGGGCTGCCTGCTCCAGGCCCTGGGAGCAGCCCATAAGCTGGGCTCGCAGTCCAGCTCCTTTAGAGTGATGCGCCAGCACAGAGCCCAGCTGTAGCAGGGGCTCAGAAAAGCTGCTGTTTGATCCCAGCCGTGCCCCTGGGCCCCAGCTCGGAGCTGGGCATCCCTCCCAAGAGCAAGGGCCCCCTTCTTCCCTCCTCCAGGCAGGCCAGCCCCAGCCGGCCTCCCAGCCGCCCTCATCTGTCCCCACCTTGGAGAGCCCCAGAGGTGGGCCCACGGCACCCACAGCCCCGCTCCTGCCCCTCTTGCTCCCAGAACCATGTCAACCTCGTGCATCGGAAAGGGAAGACCAAAGTGTGTCCTCATCCCGGCTGTGGCAAGAAGTTCTATTTATCCAACCACCTGCGGCGGCACATGATCATCCACTCAGGTCAGGCCCCGGGCAAGGGTAGCCGCACGGGCCGGGGCACGGGGGCCTGGGCCAGAAGCCAGGGCAGGGGCCTGCCTGTCTCGGAGCCTCCCCTGAGTCCTCCACTTGGGCTGCCGTGAGATGGGGGAAGTAAAGAGCGTAACCTGGTGCCCACCAGGCCCCTCCCTGGGGCTCAGTAAACTGGAGCTACACAATCTCAATGACACAGACTGTTATAAATACCCAGGAATGAGGCAGGGGCTGGCTGTCTCTTCCCCAACTTGCAGCCCCTTGGCCTCCCCTCTCCCATGAGCAGGTCTCATGTGGAAGCCGTTCCAACGCTAACGGGGACAGTGACCCACCTGAGATGGGCAGGGCTGATGGGGGACGGCAGGGTGGGGGTGGGCTTGAGACAAGGCCCCTGTTTCCACTCGTGGCAGAGATGTGGGTCTTCTGCCCCAAGCGCTTCCTTGACCCGGAGCATGGGCTGTGGACGCAGTGGTGCCTGTGACCATGGAGTTCCAGGGGACCAGAGGTGGTACATCTTCATATTTTTCAAGAGGCCAGAACTTTGGATTTTTTTGTGAAATCTCCCCGAAGTTCAAATATTGGGGTCAAGTCCAGGCCCATCTTGGCTGGGCCGTTTGCACCCTCTGCCCCTCAGGGACCAGAGCCACCTTCCGGCTGTGCCCGGGTGCGCGCCTGGGCAGCCTGGGAGCGCATGCGGGGCGGTGAGGCGCCCTTTGCCTTAGCCGCTGTCATTATTATCATCGGCCCTGGCGCCCGGAGGATGTGGGGTTTACTCTCCCTGCGCCCAGAGGCCCGGGAGACTCGGGGACACGGCCCCCGGCCCCACCCGCAGCGGCGTCCTCAGCCCCGCGTCTGCCCCAGGTGTGCGGGAATTCACCTGCGAAACCTGCGGCAAGTCCTTCAAGAGGAAGAACCACCTAGAGGTGCACCGGCGCACGCACACCGGCGAGACGCCCCTGCAGTGAGTGGCGGCTTCCCGAGGGGGCTGGAGGGAGGGGCCCTGGGCTGGACCGCGGGCGGGCGGGCTCCACCCTCGGGTCGCCTCGCTGGGTTCCACGAGCGCTCCCACCGCAGATGGCCTCGCCCCTTTGCGTTTGGGCCCCGCCCCGACCGCTAGGCCCCGCCCCCGCCGTTTAGGCTTTGCCCGCGTGGTTAGGCCCCGCCCCCGCGGTTGGGCCGCGCCCTCGCGTTTAGGCCCTGCCCCGGTTGCTAGGCCACGCCCCCGTGGTTGGCCCCGCCCTCGTGTTTGGGCCCCGCCCCCTCTGACCAGCGCTGGTGGCGGTGGCTCCGGCAGGTGCGAGATCTGCGGCTACCAGTGCCGACAGCGCGCCTCGCTCAACTGGCACATGAAGAAGCACACGGCCGAGGTGCAGTACAACTTCACGTGCGAGCGCTGCGGCAAGCGCTTCGAGAAGCTGGACAGCGTCAAGTTCCACACGCTCAAGAGTCACCCCGACCACAAGCCCGCTTGACCCGCCCAACCGCCGCCCACCCTTATTTATTCGTCCGCTTGGACACCACGCCCGGGCCTGCCCGGAACGCCGAGGGCGCCGCCCGGACCGCAGGCCGGAAGGAGGCGCCCCTGCCCCGCCCCAGGGCTGGGCCCCCGGGGCAGACCCCCCCACCCGCCCCGGCCCGGCTCCGGAGCTGGCGCCTGGGGCCGCGCTGCTGGAACTGTGTCAAGAGAGCAGAGCAAGATTAAAGAGCGAGAAAGGAGATGCCCTTCCCCCAGGCCTGGATGATTTGGGGGGACCGGGCCCCTCTCTGTCTCCAACCTGGTCCCTTCCTGAGCAAGGCGGGGGATGGGCGGTGAGGGGGTGGGGAGATGTCCCTACGTGCCCAGCAGGGCCCTTCCTGTCAGCCTGCGCCCTGCCTCGGCTACCTGGCCGGGCCACCTCGGTCACTCCCCGCTCTCTCGGGGTCAGGGATAGGAGGTTGAAGACCCAGAGAGGCCACTGGACATCTTCCAGGACTCGATCCTGACGCTCACTCCCAGTCCTCCACTTATTCCCCATTCTCAGCTCAGGGACCGGTGGGGAGATGTTCAGCAACCCCCTAAATAAGACTTGTATAGCTGCCGTGCAGAAAAGAGAGTGATTGGTTAGTTCTGGGGGGTGCTGTTTAGGTCGGTGGTCAGGAGGTGGCATTTGAGAATAGACCAGAATGACAAAGAGATTCCATCCCCGAAGAAAGCTGGGGTAGGCAAATCCCAGGTCGAAGGAACTGCTGGTGCCAAAGTCCCGAGGTGGAACCGGCTCGGCGTGTTCCTGGAACAGGAAGCTGCGGGGGGGACGGGAGTTGGCGGCGGGGGGGGGGGGGGGGCGGCTGCCTTGGCCCCATTTCCCGGAGGAAGATGCTGAGGCCGCCTCTTCTCCTGCGGGCCTCCAGGGAGAGAGGCGGGGAGCCAAACCAAGCCGCGCGGCCGCCAGGTGGCGCGCAAGCCGCGTGGGCCCTGGTGGCTGCAGACACGTGACCCCGGGGACCGCAGCAGCGAGCCTGGGCACGTGCCCGAGGGAGCCCTGTGGCGCCACGCGCAGATTGGCCCCGCCGGCTCCTCACCAGCTCGTGGGGGCGGGGCCACAGCCAGGCCTCATTTTACCCTCCGGACCCGAGGCTACCCCAGCCGGGGACGGAAGAGGGGGCGAGGATGAGCAAGTCTGGCCGCTGGGCGCCCCCGCCACCCCGCGAGCCGCCCCCGGCAGGTTCAGTCCCCTTCGCTGTTCCCGCATAACCGGAGTCAGCAGTTTCCATGGGAACCGCAGCCGGGTCTGCGCGCCCAGGAGTAGCCCCCCTCCCGGCACAGGCACGGCTTCCAGTCCGACAGGAGCCGGGAGGAACGCCGGGTTGGGAAGAAGCCATCGCTCGGGGTCCCCGGATCATCCAGGTCGCCCCGGCAAACCCAAGAGGGGCCACCGCGGGAGCAGCATCACCACCGCCCAGATTGCGCGGGCCGCTATGATTGGCCTGCCCTCTCCATCAGCGTGGCAGCGCTCTCTGCTGCGTCCGCTCTCATTGGCTCAATCTCGAGGGCATCCTCCCGCAATTGGTTCTCCCGAGGACCGTCCCTGATTGGCCAAATTAGGCTCTCCTCGCTGGGGTGGATGGCACGCTCGGAGCCTAAAAGGGCGTGTAGGGACGGGGATGGGGTGGGGGTTGCGACTCTCCGGTTAGGGGGTCCAGGATCTCTCGTCCGCAGCGCCCTCTACCGGGCCGTCGGACCGCTGTCTGTGGTGCTGAAGCCTCACTAGAAGGCGCCCCTGCCGTGGTGAGAACACCTCGCTCCTGATGGCCGCCCCGACAGAAACGTGCGCTCCCACCCGCTCCCCGAAGGAGGCTGCGCCACCCCCCATCGTCTGAGAGAGAGGCCAGGTCCCCACTAGCAGAGAGGAAGCGTGACTCCACAAGCGGACCAATCACGAGCCCGGAAAGTCAGGATATTTACATGGCAGATCCGCCCACCCGAAGTTTATAGGGTCCGAGAAGGCCCAGTGGTTTCCAGGAGCTGGAGGGCGCCAGTGAGGTTTGCCCGCAACCCTAAGCCCCAAACCTCTTAACCCCCTTTGGAGCAGTGCCCAGTTCTCCTGCACTGTAGGCTGCCAGTCCAGAGCTTTTGAACCCTATAGACACCTAACCCACTCAAAATCCACAGGGTCTCAGTTCCTTCTGCAGGCAGACTAGGGTCTCAGCCACCCCCACCTTCCTCCCTTGGCCCCCCCAAATCTGGAGACCCAAGCCTCTGCCCATTGAAGTCTTGGTTCCTCCTTTCTTTCTAGTCCCCTCGGTGGACAGCACCTCCAGAAGGTCGTACAATCGGGCCGTCGATACATCCTCGCCCTCTTCGCTCCTCCGGCTCTGGGTGCTGGACAGAGGAGGGGCACCCGCCCAGTCTTCCGGCCAGAAAGCCCACCCAAGAAGGGGCGCCAAGACAGGAAGCAGGGTCTGCGGGGGCAAAAGGGCCCGAAGCTGGCGATCCGAGCCCCGAAGAAGCGTTTTCTGGGGGTGCGGGGTCCCGGCCAGCGCGCGCTCGCTTCCACCTGCCGCGCCGTCGGGCGCCGCGAGGAGGCGGGGCTCGGTTGCCGCAGCCAATAGGCGGCGCCGGCGCTGGCAGCTGCCGCTATAAAGGGCTGGGGGCGGCGGCTGCGCGGCCCAGAGCGCGGAGCGCGCAGCGCGGGCAGGAGGGTGGGAGGGAGGGCGGGCGAGGGGAGAGGACTGAGCACCCGCGACCGGACAGGCTGGGCCGAGGGGCGGCGGCGAAAGGCAGGGCGCCGCGATCTCTGTCGGGAAGCGCACCCTCCCCGGGCCCCGCGGGGCCGCGCAGGGGGCGTTCTCAATCCCGCTGCCGCTCCCTCCTTCCATCCCCTGCCGCCCGCAGACCACTCCGGAGCCCGGTTATCCGCGGGCGCGTCCCCGGGCTCGGGCCCGTTCCCGGCCCTCGAGGGAGCCGCCGCCTTCACCGACACCTCTGCAGCGGCCGCGCCAGAGGCCGCCCGGGCAGGAACCCGGCGTGAGCATCGAGCGCCCCCCAAGGAGTGCACGACCCCCGGAGCCGCCCTCAGCACGGACCGCGCCCGCCGGGCACACAAGAATGGTCACTGTAGGTATTCCCCTGTCGCTGAGAGGGAACCTGGTCAGTAAGGGGTTAGGCACAGGCTCCGCGGAGATGGAGGGGGGGGTAGGACCAGGCCTAGCTAGGCCCGGGTGGGGGGGTAGGACCGAGCCTCGGGGCCTGAGAGTGGGCAGGGCCGCGCCCAGAGTGCTGGGGGCACTTAGAATCTTGCCCGAGAGGCCTTAGGGAGGCGAGCTGCGATCCAGGGGGCGTCCTACGGCGCCCCGGGGGCGGGATTGCCCCCCCCTCTGGCAGGCCTGATGGGGGAGGGGCCGCGGCGGCGAAGGATGCCTCCTCCATCCGGGCCCGGACCCCGCAGCCGCCCAGGCTAACGCAGGGCCCCAGTCGCTGGTGCTGGGCCAGGACCAGGCGGCAAGGCGTCCCCGAGAGCCCCGGGGAAGCGGGTGGCGTCGGATCGCGCGCCCCAGGCCTCCGCCGCGCCCGGGAGCCGGGCGTCTCGTCCTCGAGCCCGTCGACCTTGCGGCAAGCGGGGAGGGGAGAGGAGGGGGCGCGCCCGGAGGCCCCGCGGGCCCGCCGCCGCCGCCGCCGCGTCCCTTTGTTTCTCGGCGCTTCTTCGCGGGCCGTAGCCTCGCGCGGGCGCCTCGGGCTCCGGGGAGGGGGAGGGGAGAGGAGGGACGGCGGGGGGGCCCCCCGGCTCCTGAGCCCCCGCCCCTCAGGGGATGGGGTAAGGGGCCGAGGCAAGCCCCCTAGGCCAGGTCCGGACGCCCCACCCCTCCAGGGCTCTGGGCCGCGGGGTGACCTTGAGCGCGCCCGCCCGCCCGCTCCTCTCGCCCCGATCCCGGTGCTTTCAGCAGCCACCGAGCTGGTCAGCTCCCGAGCGCGCGGCCACGCCCGGCCACGCCCGGCCTGGCCACGCCCCTGCCCCGCCCATCTATGCCCCGCCCCCTAGGGCCCCGGGGGCCCGGCCTCGCCCGAGCCCTCGGATTTCCACTCGGCAGCCCGGGCGTATCCCGGGGGCGGGGCCGGCCCGTCCTAGCCCCACCCCGGCTCCACCCCCGCCCCCGCCGCGCGACTCCGCTCCCCGCGCCGCCGCGCGTCCTTTGTCTGGTCCCGGCGCCCGGGCCTCCCCCTTCGGCTCTTCCTGTCTCTCGGGTCTCTGTGTGTGCATCTCTGTACACTGTGTCTCTTTCTGGGCCTCTTTTTCGAGTCGTGGCGAGCAGTGAGTGGTGGGATGCTCAGCACGCCCCGCAGGCCTGGGCCTCTCCTCTCCTGGACCCTGGGACCCGCCCACCTGACTCTGAGAAATGAGGCCCGGGAGGCCACACGTCCCTGCTGTGTGACCTCGGGCCGGCTCCTTCCCCTCTCGGCCTCACACTACTCACTCAGGTCCAGGAACGTGAGTGTGGCCTCCTGAGGACCCTCAGAACCACCCCCCGCAGTCCAGCATCCATTCCTCTGATCTGTTCCCTCGGTGGAAAAAGGGAAACTGATGCACAAAGAGAGAGGGTGTGGTCAGAGGTCACACGGGGCCTTGAAGCTCTTATCCTTCCGTTACTCCAACGGAGGGCGCTCAGGCAGAGGCCCACTATGGCGACAGGCTGGGAGAAAGTGAGGGGATAAACTGAGACAGTCAGGGCCCTGCATGGAGGGAGAAGGGCCCAGAAGTGGGAGGCTTGGCTAGCACCACGTGGTGGCCCAGCCTCACCATGCATAGCCACTCAATGCCCTATTGTCGCCAGTATCCAGGCATCTGTCACTGTGACCAGGGCCAGGGGGCGCAGCTGGGGGCCAAGGGGGTTAGACACGGGAGGAGCTACACGGCAAGTGACCACAGGTGTGTTCACGGCAAAATCCGTATGTGAAATGTATGTGCAGTGGTGCCAGAGGGTTGGAGAAAGAGTGACAGGGAGAGGGAGAGGGAGAGAGAGGGGTGCAGAGGGGAGACGTGGGCAGAGGGGAGAGAGACACAGAGGGGGAAAGAGGGAGAGAGAAACAGGAAGAGGGAGAGACCCAGAGGAAGAGCTGGAGAGAGTGGGAGGGGAGGTTCGATGCTCCCAGTTGGCCTCCGCCTCGCCATCCTTGATCTGCCCTCCTCTGCTCTGACTTCACGCCCTCGTCCCCGTCCTGGGACAGCCCTCGAAGGTCCCTGTGTTCTCCGTGTCATCCCAGGCCACATATGCCACCGGCTAGAGCAGGGCGGGTGGGGCCTCCACCAATCCGATCCCCATTAGCGGCTCAGCCGGCTCAGCCGCGGAGGAAACGCGGCAGTGATCCGGATAAGCTCTGGCACAGACGGGAGGGAGACGGGGTGGTGGTGGCGGGATTACTAGGCTGGCCCTCAAAATCCTGGGCAGGACTCCCGAATCCCCTCTAAACCCCATCCGGTTGAGGACAGCATTTTGGAGGGGCTGGAGTCAGTAACCCTGAAGGCTCTGGGGTCATCTGATCGGGGTCAAACCCTGACTCCATCTCCGTCACCTGCCCCTGTCACCCTGGGCATGTCAGGGCCCTCTGACCCTCGGTTTCTCCAGCTGCGAAATGGATAAGATGATCTCCAGCTTTCAGTGTGACTGTGGGACGGCAGAGAGAATGTTGCGCATGCTCACTGCCTGGCACACAGGAGGGGCTCCGCGGCTGGAAGCCGGTCGTCCTGAAACAGTGGCTGCAGTCGGCTGACTGGGCTCCCATAGCAGACATTATCAATCGATCACAGAACTCTAGCTCACTGAGTCTGCGCAGCAATTCAGAATCTATCTCCATACGGGGGACTTCGGTGACATACCTTTAGCGGAGGGACAGGGGCCCAGAGAGGCAACGCGAGTGTCAGAGACACACAGCGACGAGGGTGGAGCCAGCAGCTGGCACGTGGTGGCAGTTAGGAAATATTTGTCTAGTTGAATAAGTAGACTCGGCCGACAGAGTGGGTTTAAATCAAGAGGCACCGGGGCGTGACGTGGAGTAGGTACTCGGCCTTCCTTGGCTGTTATTGTTTTTACCATTATTGGCTTTTTCATTAGGAAAGTGAGCTCTGGTGTCCAAACGCCGCCTTTGGATTCTTCCTCTGCCATTTACCTGCTGCCCAACCTCGCCCAAATCTCTACCCTTTCATTGAGACTTGGTTTCCTCATCTATTAAAGGGAGAAAAGAGTCCCATAACCCTCGATGTTGGGAGAATTGCCTGGAAATTTTCATATATAGAGCTTTCCGGGGGCCGGCCCCATGGCCCAGTGGTTAAGTTTGTGCACTCTGCTTCAGTGGCCCAGGGTTTGCTGGTTCAGATCCTGGGCATGGACCTACACACCACTCATAAGGCCATGCTGTGGTGGCGTCCCACATAGAAGAACTAGAATGACCTGCAACTAGGATATACAACTATGTGCTGGGGCTTTGGGGAGGGAAAAAGAAAAAAGGAAGAGTGGCAACAGATGTTAGCTCAGGGCCAATCTTCCTCACCAAAAAAAAAAAAAAAAACAAAAAAACAACCTTTGTCTTCAGATATTTAACATGCCAAGGTGCCAAAAAAGAAAAAGAAAAAAAAAATTTTTCCCTGGCGCATAGCAGGCCCTCCAAACTTGGCCATGTTATTAGTAAAGTATTAAATGGTACGAGACCAGGATGCAGATCTGTGGGGTATGGTTACTGCTTTATCCCAGGCGCCTGTGGCAGATATTGCTATTCAACCTAGTGTGTGTTCCTGCTCAGCCTGGATGGGGCTTCAGAATAATCCTCCAGGCAGCCACTCTCAGCCGACTGGAAATGCAGGGGATCTGCATCTCCAGGCCATCCTTTTAATAAGAAAGAGTGGGAAAGAAGCGGAGGGCCCAAAGAACAGCTCAGATCATCCCTGAGGACACACAGCTATAAGTGGCAGAGAGGCCCCCATGCCTTGGCCACTGTCATCAAAACCAGCTCTGTGGTCCAACACATCCAGTTTGAAATGGCGTTCCCCATTTATGTCACCCAACTCTGAGCTCAGCTTCCTCCGTGTAAAATGGAGAGTGTGTCACTGTCTTTCAAGATTGTTGGGAGAAATAAATGAAATGATGCCTTGAAGTGCTTCACGCGATGCCCCGCAAGTGGTACATACTCAGTGGAGCAGGACGATTATTAATCACAGTATCATGAGGCAGGGACGGAGGATGTGACAAGCCGGCTGCCGCTTCCCGTGACTGTGCACGTAGCAGACATGGCTAGCTGATGCCAGAATGCTTTCCAGCTGCACCCACGTGCAGTCTGAGATCCTTCCCCAGGCCACTAATTTGCCAGTAATTTGGAGTCTGCAGCAAAGTGGAGCAGAGGCCCAGAAGCCTTAAGTGGCATACCTGAGGCCACAGAGCCGGGAAATGTTAGAACTGGTACTGGTCGTGGTTGGCAGTGAAAGTTGGAAATACAGACTCTGGATCAGAAAAGCTCGTGTGCAAATCCCTGTGCCACCATTTATAGGCTGCATGATCTTTGGTCATTTTGCAATCACTTCTGAACCTCACTTTCCTCCTCTGTTGTCTTAGCTGAGGCTGCCATAACAGAATACCATCAACCGGGTGGCTTAAACACCAGACGTTTATTTCTCATAGTTCCAGAGGCGGGGAAGTCCAGCTGCTGGCTGACTTGGTTCCTGCTGAGGGCTTGCTTCCTGCTTTGCAGATGGCCATCTCCTTGCTGTGTCCTCACATGGTGGGGGGAGAGACACCCTCTCTCCGGTCCCTTCTCACAAGGGCATGAATCCCATCCATGAGGGCTCCACCCTCATGACCTAATTACCTCCCAAGAACCCCACTTCCAAATACCATCACATTGGGAGTTAGGATTCCAACATATGGATTTGGGGTGACACAGCTTTTAGTCCATAGTATCTGTGAAGAGGAGGAATAAAACCCTCTTCTTTTCAGAGTCGTTGTGCCTAAGAAAAGAAAAATTGCCTCTAGAGGACTTTGCACTGTGCCTGGCACCCAGCAATGCCCAATATTTGGGAACAATTATGGTATTGTATTTTGGGTCCGGGAGGGCTGAGATAATGTGTACCTGCTGACTGTTTCTAATTCTGCAACGGAAGCAGACATTGCTAATCAATCACAGTGGCCTTTCCTGCTGAAACTGGATATGGCTTCAAATCCTTCTAAATTCATCCCTCTAGGAAAACCCTACGAATCGATTTGAGTTTTCAGGTGAGGGCAACCTATTTGCCAATCATGCTATAGCAGAGACTTAAGGAAATGCTGACTGTTTTACCTTCCCATGACCATGACAGACAATACTAATCAATCCTAGCACTGTTTCCTGCTGACCCCAGATGTGGCTTTAAAATTCTTCTCTACATGGCCATGACGTGTAAAATAGATATAGAATACATTTGAAAAGTGCTAAGAGGGTAGATCTTAAAAATTCTCATCACAAGATAAAATTGTAACTATGTATGGGTAGATATTAACTATAAAAAACTACATGGTGATGGAAGTCAGCTAGACTTATTGTGGAGGTCATTTGGCAATATATACAAATACCGAATTATTATGTTGTACACCTGAAACTAATATAACATTGTACCTCAATTATATCTTAATTTTAAAAAATAGATGTAGAAAAAACCATTCGATAAAATACATCTATTTTTTAAAAAAATATCTTGCACTAAAATTAAACATTCTTAACCTCGCAAAGGCCATCTACAAAAAAACTATAGCAGAGATCACATTTAGCTGTGAAATGTTTAAAGCATTTCCTTTAAAGTCAGGAATAAAGAAGCCACTTTCACATTGTAGCCCCTGCAATAAGACAAGAAAAATAAATAACAGGTATAGACTGGAGACAAAGAACTGAAATGATCATTATTTGCAGGTGTTACTATGTCATACATAAAAAAACAAAATAGCTCAGTGGAGAAACTGGGGAGGGTAAATCCCCAGTGGGAAAATTATGCATGAAGTGAAAGAAATATTGACACATTTGGGGTATGAATCACCTTTCCTGGGAGGAAGGAGGTACACAGTCAGGGAGGGGCTTATGAGGGCTTCAGAGCTAATAAAAATGTCATATTTCTTATTCTGAAGACAAAAGCGTTTATTTTATGATTCTGAAAATGCACAGATTGGTGTTAGATAAATAGGCAAATGTATATGCAATCGGGCATGTACGGCATTTATAGATGGAATTCTCCACAGTAAAGTCTTTTGCTTTGCTGGGCGCTCAAGGAGTGGAACAGATCATTAGACTAACACACTGTCCCCTCCCCTCATTCAAGCCCATGTCAGACATGCCTGATCCATCGCCACCCAGCACCCCACCTCTCCTGCTGGTCCCCAGTGCGGGGACCGGGCCGTGAGCGGGTGTGGCCTGTTGTCTCCAGCAGATACTCGGGGCCATGGAGTCTCAGGTGGCGGGGGGCCCGGCCGGCCCGGCCCTGCCCAACGGGCCACTCCTTGGTACAAACGGAGCCACTGACGACAGCAAGACCAACCTCATCGTCAACTACCTGCCCCAGAACATGACTCAGGACGAGTTCAAGAGTCTCTTTGGCAGCATTGGCGACATCGAGTCCTGCAAGTTGGTTCGGGACAAAATCACAGGTGTGGCTGCTGGCGGGTGGGGGGGCTGAGGACAGAGGTGATAGCCTCAAGCGTGCAGGTGTGAGGGGGCAGGTGGGACCCTGGGGGTCTGAGGTGTGATGGGGAGACAGGTGGGACCCTAGGTGGGGTGGCTCAGGGGTGACGGGGGTAGGCAGGACTCTGGGGAAACAGATACGGGTGGCATCTTGACTCTCATCACCTTGAGGGGGGCTGCCAGCCTCTCAGGCTGGGGACTGGGAGGACACTGGCAGGTCCGGGCAGCTCACCATCCGGTCTTGCCCACAGGGCAGAGCCTCGGCTATGGGTTTGTGAACTACTCGGACCCCAACGATGCAGACAAAGCCATCAACACCCTCAACGGCCTCAAATTGCAGACGAAGACCATCAAGGTTAGTGCCCAGTCACTGTCCACCTGGACCACCCACTTCGCTGCCACTCAAGCCCCACGGCCACCCACCCTCCCAACATACCCATTCCCACCACCGCTCAGGGTTCAAATCTCTCCCTCGAGCCTTCCTGGCTGGGCTCCCCAGGGGCCGACAGCTTTGCCTCTCTGAACCTCAGTCTCCTCACTCGTCACTGGGGAGAATATCAGCCCCGCATTCTCTGGCACCTCAGGGAGGCACCCACCTCATCAGCGGAGGAGCAGGAGAGAGTGACCAGGGTCCAGCGGGCAGGCGCCCCCCCACCCGGCCCCGCCTTTGTCATGGAAATGGGGGAGGGGTGGGGGCCCATCTGCCATCTGGAGCCTAATTAGGGGCTGAGAGGGTGGGATTAGGGGTGGGCCCTCCCCCATCTTTGTGCAACGCCCCTCCCCCCACGGCCTCCCCTCTCAGCAGCTGCAGCTGGGACCCCGTGAGCTCGGGTTCCCTGGGGGTGTCGCCATGGAAACGCCCCTCTCTGGGTTCGCCTGGGGGTGTCTGGGCTCCGCCCCACAAATCTGCTCCCGGCCCCTGGGGGAGGCGGGGCTGGGGGAGCCCATCTGGCCCCCCGTTCTCTGTGGGAACAGAGGTGCGGGAATTTCTTCCTCTCTCAGATGCGGGCGGCACGAGGTGATGCTTGATGGGTCCCTCCATGGCCGACTAGACCCAAAAGCCCCAGGACATGAGGGTGGGCCCTAGTGACAACCTGGGAGACCCAGAGGGCCACCATGCACGTGGGATGCAGCGAGTGTGCGTGTGTGACCGTGGGCTGGGACTCATGGTGTTTGTGGGGTGCTGCGGCTACGGGAGCGGCTGTTGTCACACGGGTCCGGCTACGATAGACTTTGGGCGTGTCACTGTGTGTCTGTGGGCACGTGGTGTTTATTTGACAGGCGCTCGGTGACACACTGTGACTCCGGCTGTGACCTGATGGGGCTGCGTGGGTGTGTCTGGCTGTGACGGGGTGTTTGTGTGTCACAGTGAAGTTGTGTGGGTGTGTCTATCTGGGCCCGGTTCTGGGTGGAACGTGTGTGACATTGTGGGCTTGTGCGGTGGTGTGACGGGTGTGTGGTTACTGTAATCATGCATGACCCCCAGAGTCGCTGTGAACATGGCAGCGGCCCGTGTCACCTCCCCGCTGGTGTAGTCCCCAGGGCTGGGCAATGAGGGGCACAGCGTGGCCTTGTGTGTGTGCGTGTGTGTCCGCCTGGGTGACTGTCACGTGGTCCATCCTGACTGGATGCTCCAGCACATTCTGCCTAAAATATTTCCAGCTGCCTGCCACATGCCAGGCCCCTCCTGGTGAGGGAGTGTGACGCAGGTGAGGGACCTGGGTCAGCCCAGGTCACAGAAGGACAAGAAAGGTTCCCGAAGACTTTCTCTGTGTCTCAGATGACCCCCAGCCCTAGACAAACACCCACCCAGGAGCTCAGAGCCCCCTTCCTGTCACCCCCAACCCCGATCTCTCAACAAGCCCTCACCTCAGAGCTTGCGACAGGAAAGAGACAGCACGTTCGGGACCTCGCTGTTTATTATCATTCCAGAAATAACAGCAGTGGATGTGGTTGCCTGTTTTTCTGGAGGACCCCAGGTGTGCACCATGGCATTCATTAGCATCTGCCACCCCCACCCCGTGAGCACCTTCACCCTCCATCCCCCCCACCGCTTTATTCATTTTGTTAGTTTTTTAATCAGTTATTTCTAAAGAAATAAGACGCCATTACAACGCACAGCCCCGAACAAAAACCAGACTCTTGACAATGACCTCTGTCTGCCCAGAGGTTAGTTTAGAAGGGAAAGAAAATAGACATGGGCAGAAATAAGGAGGAGGGCGCTGGCCCCTTAGCATGGGGGCCTCCAGCCCGGGTTTTCCGGACACTGATAAGCACACAGTGGGATGGGGTCACTCCTTGCTGCTCTGTAAATGGACTTTTCTTCCCCCACTTCACAATACTGCCCACTGTTTCGGGGAAATAAATCTACACGTCCACCATTTTTTAAACAGCTGCAGAGTTTTACTGTGGGGCTGGATCCTAATTAATAACACCAATCGGATGATTGTAATAAAACGTGTCTAGCTCCCAACTGGGAGAGGGCTTGGAGAAAGAGTAAGGAGGGTAGGGGCAGGGACCCACATGGAGGTAGGAGAGGACAGGGAGGACATTGCAACTGAGACCTGGAGGAAAGGGAGACGAAGAGAGTTCCGGGCAGGAGGAACAGCCAGTGCAAAGGCCCTGAGGCTGGAGTATGCCTGTGTGTTTGAGGAACATGGAGGAGGTCTGTGTGGCTGGAAGAGAGTGAATGAGGGGGCAAGTGGGTGGAGATGAGGGCAGAGGGGTGATGGGGTAGGTCATACAGGGCCTTGTGGGCTGTGGGAAGGACGTTAACTCTGAGGAAAGTGGGAGCCACTGAAGGTTCTGAGCAGCGGAGGCATGTGACCTGGCTCAGATGCTCACAGGCGCCCTCTGGCTGCTGTGGGGGGAACAGACTGTGGGGGGAGGAGGATGGAGACAGCGGCACTGGTCCGGGGGTGAGCCATTGTGGGGGCTGGGCCAGGCTGTGGCTGTGGGAAAAGAGCGTGGATTCTGGATAATGAGGAACGTGGAGCCAACAGGATTGATGGCGGATTGGATGTGAATTTGAAAGAGCTGTCAAGGACAAGAGAGGCTGGGGACCTGAGCACCCAGGAGGACCGAGCTGCCATCACTGAGTTGGGGCAAGTTGGGGGGCGGTCAGGGGCCCAATGCTGCCACACTGAGTGTGACCCCCCCCCCACCATGAGATCCCTCATGGGGCCCCTGGAGGCCAGTGGCACACAGCTGTGCCACTCGGGGACAAGGCCCACACTGGGGACATTTGGGAGTTGTCAGCCTTGATCTGCTGGCTAAAGACCTGAGGGACCCCCAGGGGCCCAGTGTTGTCAGGGAGAGAAGGGGACAGCATCCCAGGCTCACTTTGCAAAGGAGGGGAAAGTGTCGATGTTGATGGAATGTCCAGCGTGAGCCCATTGGCTGGGGACGCGACGGTCCCTGAGGTCCCCAAGGAGACCCATGACCCCAGGGGCGCGGCTCCTTTGACCTCCTCAGGCAACAGGTCCCCCATCATTCTGCAAGCAGGGCCATGTTGTCTCGGCCATGTCCATGTCCCCTCCCCCCCCCAACCCCGGGGGTCCCAGGGTGACGACGACTCAGGAGAGATCTGTCGAGTGAACACAGGCATTTCTGCTCCTCAGTGGTGCTTTGGGTGTGGCCTCACTCTCCCCATCTGCGACGTGGGTCCTCCCCTCACCCCGGCCGCCTGACCTCCTCCCCCAGGTGTCCTACGCCAGACCCAGCTCTGCATCCATCCGGGACGCCAACCTGTACGTCAGCGGGCTCCCCAAGACCATGAGCCAGAAGGAGATGGAACAGCTCTTCTCCCAGTACGGCCGCATCATCACCTCCCGCATCCTGGTGGACCAGGTCACAGGTCAGGCCGCGGGGGCGCCCGCCGTAGGCACCGAGGGAGGACCAGGATGGAGAGGGCAGGGTGTAGAAGTAAGGGCCAGAAGTAAGGGAAGAGCGAGGGGTCGCACAGGAGTGAGGGCCGGGGTCCTCTGACGCCTCCCCCCGCCCCACGCCCCGCGCCAGCAGGTGTCTCTCGGGGTGTGGGATTCATCCGCTTCGACAAGAGGATCGAGGCCGAGGAGGCCATCAAGGGACTGAATGGGCAGAAGCCGCTGGGCGCGGCTGAGCCCATCACGGTCAAGTTCGCCAACAACCCGAGTCAGAAGACGGGGCAGGCCCTGCTCACTCACCTCTACCAGTCGTCTGCCCGGCGCTACGCGGGCCCCCTGCACCATCAGACGCAGCGCTTCCGGTGAGGCCCCCCCTGCTCCGGGCGCCCCGGGGCCCCCAGGCTGTGGCCCAAAGCTTGCAGCCCCCCTCCCTGAACCCCATTCCTGCGAGGCAGAGGGACTCGGGACAGCTCCCACACGCAGAGGGGAAATGTGTGGGCCTGTCAGGGGCTTAGGGCAGGTCTTTGTATACAGCAGGCACTCAATGTGTGCAGGGCCCTCTGAGTGGCATTATGGGCATTCAGAGTTTTGAGAGTCACCTGATAGAGTCCAGCTCTGACTGTCCCTCTCCCTGAGGCCCGTGGCTCCAGCTGTCTGTGCCTCAGTTTCCCCATCCACATTTCCTGGGTGCGGACTGCGTGCCAGACACACTTATTCGTTCTGCACAGCAACCCGATGAGAAGGGAGCTTGTCTTGTCCCCATTTGAAGGACGGGACCCTGAGGCACAGGGAGGCGTTGTCTCTGGTTCAGCCCAGGCGCGGCGGAGAAGAGACTCGAACCACCCCTTCTGGGGACCCAAGCCCTGCAGGGTGGGGGCAGGCAAGCAGACCGGCTGGGAGGGGGAGGAAAGGGACTTGGGGCAGGCCGGGCACAGCAGGGCAGGCGAGAGGCGGTGCCTGTGGCCCCGGTTCCGTGCCAGGCGGTGTCCAGCCGGGCGGGCAGTGGTGGGGGCAGGGCTGGCGCTGCTGGCCCGCTGGGTGGGGGCTGGGAGGGCTGGCTGGCCGGCATCACAGCCGGGGGCGTGCCCGAGGCCACCAGTGACCACCCCTTCTGCCTCCACAGGCTGGACAATTTGCTCAACATGGCCTACGGAGTCAAGAGGTAACAGTGCCCCCGCCCCGCTGTCCCCTCAGACCCTTCCCTGACGGACCCCATCCCCAGATCCCCCCGCAGGATTGCCAGTGTCACCGTGTCTGTCCCTGTCTGGGCGGCGTAGCCATTCAGAGATCTGGGGGGCTGTCAAGCCTGTAAATACCTAAAACTAAGAGCTGCCACAAAATGTGGGTCCAGGGGGCCTGTCTGTGTCCTCTTGGCTCAGTGGAAGGTGACAGTGTTGCCGGGGACAGCTGTGCCCCTGGTTCCCGCATTAGGTCTCTGAGTTCCACCGGCCACTCTTGGTCATCTTGGCTGAGGGTCACAGGATGCGACTCTCATGCTTCTTGTCCCTTTTGTTAATGATCTCAGTCTGGTGGGAAAGGAGACAGAGAGGAGCAGTGACCCCGGCTGGGAAGGGGGCAGGAGAAGGGGAGGTGGGGACCCAGCAGAGCCCCCCAGCCAGCTGAGGTCACAGAGTTCCTGGCCGTGGGAACAGCCTGTGCAAAGGCCAGGAGGAGGGAGCGAGCAGTTAGTCCCAAGAGCCCAAACCCTGGGGGTCCCCCCAGTCGAGTGGAACCTCAGGAAGGCAAGGAGTCGGTGAGGAGTGTGGGTGGAGCCAATTCTGTCCTTTCATTCATTCAGTCACTCGACAAACCCCTCTGGAGTGCCTACTGTGTGCTTAGGACTGTGCTGGGTGGGGGCAGTGCAGGGAGCAGAACCTGCAGGCAAGAGGGAGCGAGGATAAATGTGTAATCGGAATGGTGAAAAGCCGAGCGGTGCAGAGGGAGGCACTGGCCTCTTGATGGGTCACAGGAGGCCGCCCTGAGGAGGTGACAGTGGAGCTAAGACCTGAGGCGTGGGAAGGAGGCACTTAAAGGGCTACGCCCACATCCTGGCTCCCACCGCTCTGCTTCCAGGGTGGGCCTCTGGGGTTGAGGGGCAGGGGGTGGAGGGGACCCCGTTGTCGAGGACCCGGTCAGAGTGGGGTCAGAGTGGGGGCGAGGGCAGGAGTTGGGTGGGAAGATGTGGCAAGGGGAAGGGTGGTGGCCAGGGGTGGGCCAACAGGGCTAAGGACCGGGTAGGGTCAAAGGTCATGGGGTCAGGGTCTAGATGGGGCTCAGGGCAGGATGGAGATGGGGGGCTGGCGTCTCTGAGCCGGTCAGACGGGGTGGGCTTAAGGTGGGGGTCACAGATGAAGGTCATGGGACGGTGGCAGGGTCAGGCCAACACAGGGGTCACATAGTCCCGAGGTCACAGCACCGTCGCAGGTCATGACAGTGTGCGGGGTTGCAGGGGGATCGGGGGCATGCTAGGGGGTCAGGGCAGAGCCCGCGTGACCCCCAAAGTAGTCCCCTGTCGCTCATCGCCAGGTTCTCGCCCATCGCCATCGACGGCATGAGTGGCCTGGCCGGCGTGGGCCTGTCAGGGGGCGCGGCGGGCGCCGGCTGGTGCATCTTCGTGTACAACCTGTCGCCGGAGGCAGACGAGAGCGTGCTGTGGCAGCTGTTCGGGCCCTTCGGGGCGGTCACCAACGTCAAGGTCATCCGCGACTTCACCACCAACAAGTGTAAGGGCTTCGGCTTCGTCACCATGACCAACTATGACGAGGCGGCCATGGCCATCGCCAGCCTCAACGGCTACCGCCTGGGCGAGCGCGTGCTGCAGGTGTCCTTCAAGACCAGCAAACAGCACAAGGCCTGAGTCGCCTCCCCACCCTCCCCGGGCAGCAGAGAGAGAGAGAGAGAGAGAGAGAGAGAGAGGGGGCCCGAGAGAGACAGCGCAGGCAGACCACGGACGGCCGAGGGCCCGCATCCCAGCGGGAGCCACAGGGTGAGCACTCGGGGGGTAGGGTCTGCAGGGAACGGGGGGTGCCTGGGGGTCCCCCACCCCATCCTCTTGCCCCCACACCCCAGGCTGGGCTGTTCACTCTCTCGTCTTGGTTTTGATCATGGTGATGGTTTTTGTTTCTTTTTTCGGCTCACAAGAAAGCAGAGACGTACCCCCACCCCACCCTCCACCTCCCCCTGTGGGATGGCTTGGGGGGGCCCCCAGGCCCCCTTGCCCAGGCCTCCCCTACACCCAGGTGAGCCTGAGGGGAGGGGGGAACAGGTTTAAAAATCCCCAAAAGAGCGAAGCGTGAGGAGGGGTGTGGGCAGCCCTGGCCCAGAGCCCCTTGGTAGGGGCGTAAGGGGCAGGGGGAGGGGCTGGAAACAGAAACAAAATGAAAAAAAAGGGGGGGGTGGGAGGGGAAGAAAAACTCTATTTTTGTAAAAAGGGAAAAAAGACCTCGTGGAGAATTTTTACTGGGGATTCTTGAACTTGAAAAAAAAAAACACAAAAAAAGACAAAAAAAAAAAAAGAAAATATTTTGGCAGGTTATGTTTACCAACTGGGGCAAGGCTTGGGGGCTGGGGGTCCGGGGGACTACACAGAGAAACACAGCCACGCCACGCAAATACACGCAGGGGCACGTACACGCGCATACACACCACAGGGACACACAGAGAGACCCAGAGACACGCTCCAGACACGGTCAGGAGGTCACTGGCCAAACCCAGACATGTAGATAAACACGTGGATGCACACAGGAGACCCAAAGATGGGGTGACGTCAGCATAGATGGATGTGGGCACAAGTGGCCATGGGTGGATGTGGCCAGAGGTGGATGTGGCCATGGGAACAGTGCCATGTGTACACGTGGACCCATGGAAGGTACATTTGGACACACAAATCTAGACACCCAGGCATGGTGAAACAGACACAACATCCAGGGACACACAAACATGCCCATAGCATCTCTGGGGCCCAGGCGAGAGGTCGCAGCACAGACTCCAGCGCAGTCCACCTCCTCCAGCCAGGCCCCGCCCCCGGCCCTCGCCCCACTCGCCCCTGCCCTGATTCCCTGCAGAGGTCTCACCTCGCTCACCAGAGCTCCCTGCTCCCCACGAACACCGGCGTGCGAACTCGGCATCCATGCATCCAGACACACAATACCTCGTTCCATTTTTGGCATCATGGTGGGCTGGAGGCAGCCCCCCCAACACTTGAGGCCAAAGGACCCCGTCCCCGGGGCTGAGGCTCCCTGGGCCGGCTCTGAGCCTCGCCCCTGCAGGGCCTCCCCAGCAGCAAGCCCCCGCTAACCCCCGCCAGGCCCAGGGTGGACGGGCCCGGGGCCCCGCCCCACATCCCCTTCTCGTCCACCTGTTCCCCTATTTCAGTTGTTGGGTTTCTCCGTCTTTCCAGATCAGTGAGGGCAGTGGACGCAGCCCCCATCCCCAGCCCCGGCTCCGGCTTCTGTCTGGAACTTTCCATCCCCCTAGTTTTCATTCTTCGTAAAAAAAACAAAATTCCAACAGAAGCCAAAGGCCGGAGCCCCCGGGAGCCCTCGCAGCCCCCCACCCCCGCAGCGGGCCCCATCAGAAGTGAGAATTGCAAACCCCAATTCTCAGCTTCGGTCGCCCCCCCCCTCCGGTGTCCCTGCATTTTGGTGTCCGGCCACGGCCCCGTCTGACTGCCCAGCTCTCTCTCCCCCACCCCTCCCGGTGTTGTTATTAACCGTCTGTGGAGCTTCTGCTGCAAGGAACAAAAAGAAAAAAAAAATCAAAAAAGCGACAAAAAAACACAAACAGAAGAGAAAAAAAAAAGCGACAAAAAAAGGAAGAAAAAAAACACACACAGAAGAGATTTAAAAACAAAGAAAAAAAAAAAAGACATAAACTGGCACCAGTTAACTTTCTTGTACTTTTTTGCCGAATTTAGCTTCTCGTAGTTTTAACTTATTGCTATGTTAACTATTTATTCTTATTGTTGCCCTGTAAGGACATTTGTGTATATTTCTGTTCCTCCATCCAGTTTGCAAGTTTAAGGAACCACGATGTTCTTTGTTTCTTTAAGTTTTGCGGAGACGTGATTATGCCTAATTTATTTATAAAAGGGGAAGTGGAATCATTAAAGTAATAATAATTATTAATAACAGTAACGGTAGCCAAGCGGCACCCGGGGGCGCATGCGCTCTGCGGGGCGGTCCCCGCGCAGCCAGCGCCCTCCGGGGTCTCAATGGGATTATTTTTGCTGTCTTGAGAATTTTTTCAGTCCTATTTAGCTGGTGAAAACCCTAGCTTGTTCTTGATACACGAACCTATTTATTCTTGTGGTTTTTAAGTCCTCCCGGATCCCCCCTCCCCTCCAGCAGGGCAGACCCCCCCCTCCCCGGGGGTCCTTCCCTCTCCTCTGCTGTTCCCTGGGCTCTCTCCCCTCTGCCCTCCGCGCGGGGGACACGTGTGCGCACGTGGGCAGCGCGGCGGAGGCATTTGTGAGCAATAAGGGCTGGGTTTGTCCCCACTCTGGGGGGGGGCCGGGCTCTGGAGAGGGGACACCTCCCCACACTCCCTCCCCCCCCCCACTGAGGCCCGGGCCCCTGCCAACCCCAACTCTGGGAGGGGACTTCTTTTTCTAAAACACAGAACTCAGCCCAGCCAGGCCCCCTTCCTGGAGGCCAGCCCCTCACCCCAGGGGAGGGCGCCTGGGGTCTCCCGTGTCCCTGGGGGGCAGGGGCAGGGGCCGTGGGGATGGGGGCTCAGCCCCTCCAGCCCTCCCTTCATCTTATTTATTCGGAAGGTTTCAAATCAGAGTCCGTGTTGGAGGTGATAAAGAACTGTAAGAAAAAAAAAAAAAAAAAAGACAAAAAAAAAAGACACACACAAACCCAAAACCCAACAAGAACACTTTGCGTTGCGTTTAGACTATTTATTACCGGGATTACAGGCCTGGCCGCGGTAACAGACTTTTACATGGAATTGTTTAATTATTTGTACTTTTCATGCCAGAAAATAAAAGTTCAGAATCTTACAGCCTTGGGTGTCTGTGCCGGCGTGCAGGGAGCGTTGGAGGGTGTGCCATGGGCCCTGGCTGTGTGACCGTGTGCAAGCCACTGCCCCTCTCTGGCCCTGGGTCTCATCTGGAGCCTCTTGGTCTCCCCAGAGCACACGAGACTCAAGGAAGGTGGGAGGCTGGCGCAGGCGGAAACCCAGATGGAAGGGGTCCAGGGTCCCTCTGTTCTTTGGTGCCAGACATCTTAGGTGTGAACCATCCAGGTGTGAATCACCTCAGGTGTGACTTGGGGCCTGATGAAGCCCCACCTGTGGAGCCAGCCTGAAGGTGGAGGAGGCCCTCACAGGATCTGCTCCCCTGGGTTGCACCCTCTGCCCACCCACGGCCTATTTCACACCCGAGCAAGGCAAGGCAGACACAGATCAGTGGGGGGAGGATCATGTTTATTGTTTTGAGGTCACAGGTCAAGTGATTTGTCCCCACAGGATGGGAGGCAGATGCCCTGGGCAGGGGTGGGGTGGGGTGGGGGGAGCCACCAAGGTGGGGACCCAGGGAGGGCGAGCTCCCTTATATTCATCTTTGGAGGCGGCTGGGGCCTGGGAATGTGGCTCTGTGCCCCCAGCCCCCGAGAGCAGGACAGAGCCCCCCACGGTTTCTGCGCCCCTGGGGAGGGTGAGGAGACCCAGAGGGACAGCCCTTGGTCCACGGACGGAGGGGTGGGTGGCACCGCCGGAGCTGCTTCCACGCTTTGAGGTTCTGGGGCTGAGGAAAGACCAGATGAGAAAGATGGAGACGGAGGAGACAGGCGGGTCTGCCTGCCTCAGACTCCGCGGGGCCCCCATGGCCGGGCAGGACCCCGCCTCCAGGCCCACCTCTGCGCCGGGCAGGCCTAGAGTTCGTCGTGGTCCCCTTCGGCGGGTACTTCGGGCGGCGGCTCCGGGCAGGCAGCCGGCGTCATCAGCTCCATCAGGTACTCACAGCGACTGGGCTCCGTGGTGCTTGTCACCACCGTCTCCTTCCCGCACAGCAGGCGCACCTGGCCGGGCGGTGGGCAGCCAGGGGCTCAGTGGGCTGGCAGGCGCCGGCGTCCCCCCTCGCCCCCCTGCCCGCTAGGCACTCACGGTGGTGGAGCGGTTGGGGCCCTGCCAGCACCCCGTGCCCTGTTCGTACTTCATGGCGCTGAACTTGTCGTGCTCGGGGCCGGCCCACGAGCCCCAGGTGCTGCAGGAGAGGGGGACTTAGGGGGACCGGCGAGGAAGGTGTGGGGGGAGGGGTGCTGTGGGCAGAGGGCCCGGCCTAAGCCCACTCACCCGAGGTTGGTGGGGGAGCCGCCGAGCTTGGGTTTCTGTGACACCATCTTGAAGGGGCAGAGCCGGTAGATGTACCTGTCACGGGAAGGGGCTGGTGGGCGGGGGCCACGGGACCCCAGCCTCCTGGGTGGCCCCACACATCGGGGGCTCACAGGTATCTCCAACTCCACTGACTGCCTGCACAGCTGCCACCCTCCCAGGCCTCCCCAGCGCCCCGCTCGCCCACCCGCCTGCCCGTAGGGACGCACTCGTTGGTGGCCAGCTCATAGCACTGGCTGTACAAGTAGGCGAACTCCCCGTCAGGGCCAAAATCGAATGAAATCTCCTGCTCCAGGTTCCTGGAAGGGGAGGCCGAGCGGGTCAGGGGAGCCGGGGACGCCCCCGCCCGGCTGGGGACACCGAGGGAAGACCCGCGCCAGGGACGGAGGGACGCGTGCAGGCTGGGCTCCTCGCCCCTGGGGACCCTCCCTGCAGCAGCCACTGCCACCTCCCCACGTTGCCTGGGCGACTCCTGGGTGCCGCCTCCTCTGGGGCCAGCAGCAGGCGGGGTGGGGCAGGGCACCAGGTTACCTGATGGACTCCTCCATCTCCCTCAAGGACCGCTCAGCCTCCTCGAACTTGTTGCGGGCCTCCTGGGCGGCTGGGGGGTGGGGCGGGGCAGGTCAGAGGGGCCCCCACTGCCATCCAGGAAGATGGACATGCCCGCTCCCCCCGGCCCCCTGGCTCTGGGCAAAGACGGTGCCCTGCCAGCTGCAGGGCAGACCCCACCCCGCTGCCCAGGCTCTCAGCTCCCCAGGGAGCGGGCCCAGGGCTCCCAGGGCCCAGCTGGCTCCTGGCCCGCCCGCTGGGGTGGCACAAACAAGTGGCAGCCGTGAGGAGGCGGGAGGGCCCCTGGGGCTGGGGGGTGGCGCTGGCTTCCCCAGGCCCTCACCACCCCCTCCAGGATGCCCAAACCCCCGGCTCGCTCAGGGTCCCTCCTTGGGCCTGGGGTCTGGGCAGGGTCCGCTCCCTCCCCGGCCGGGCCTCACCGTCGATGAAGGCCTGTGTCTGCTCATCATAGGGTGGCATCTTGTCCTCCTCGCCGGGGCTGGCGGTCTGTGGGGGCACCAGTGGGGGCGGGGGCTCCTGGGGGAGGGGCACATCAGCGAGGGACCCCACCCCACCGCGCATCCCCTTCTCCTCCAAACACGCACCTTGGGCTGCTCGCCCTGCCCCTGGGTCTCCTCCTCTTCCTCCTCCTCCTCCTCCTCTTCCGTCTCCTCTTCCTCCTCCTCCTCCTCCTCGTCCTCTGAGGGCGGTGAGGCCACGGGGGGCTGCTCCTCCTTGGGCTCCGGCAGGTCAGGAGCAGAAGGCACTGGCGGCTCGGTGGACAGTGCCTGACGGGCACGTGGGGGATCAGTGCCGTGGACCCAGGGTCCACCCCCAGCCTGGGCTCGAGCCCATCACCCAAGGGGCAGCCTCCATGTCCCCACCCCTTACTGCAGGGAGGGAGGCTCCGACAGCTGGGGGTGGGGGGGCCTCTACAGAGGGAGCCGGGGGCGCCCAGCTGGCCAGGGTGGCCCAGTGCCAGAACTGGAGGCAGCTCCTCTGGGAGGTGCGGCGGGTGGGGCACAGGGCCCCACCCCCGTCCCCTGGCCCGCACTGACCTCGGACCGGTACTTGTCCCGGATGGCAGCCCAGACACGGTCGTAGAAGGCAGTGGAGTCCGTCGGTGCGTCTCCCCCGAGGAGGGCCTGTGCGTGGGTCAGGGCAGTGTCGGAGCGGGGCCTCCACGGGCCCCCTGAGCCCCGGGCTGGCTAGACAGGAGCCTGAGGCCGAGGTGCCAGGCACCAGCGTCCCTGCGGGCCCACAGCCAGGCCGGGTGAGGCACAGTGGCCAGAAGGGGGCAGCATGGGCCTGCAGGACAGAGGTGGGGCTGGAGGGACAGAGACAGAGAGGGAGAAGGAGAACCCAGGACCAGAGCTGCCAGGCCGTCAGAGGGAGGACAGGCCGAGGACGGCCGGGGAGGGATGGACAGAGGGACCAAGGAGCAGGTACCCAGGAGCCAGAGGCCAGCAGGTGAGGAGGGTGAACTGGGGACACACACTTGGGGGAGCAAAAGAGGCATGTGGGTGCGAAACCCGGCTCTGTCCTTACCAGACACTTGTGGCACCTGCATGACCCACCCGGTCCCAAACGGCAGGGAGAAGCCAGCCACCCCAGCAGCCCTGGCCGGGGCCCACGGGGAGCCTTCCGTGGTAGCAGTCCACAGCCGGCCTGTCCCCTGCCCCCCATCCCCAAGGCCACCTGGGGCAATCCTTCTAGAAGTCTTAGGCCAAGGGGCAGGGGGGTACCTGGGCCTCCCCTTCTGACAGTGCCCCGTCCCCATCCGTGTCCAGCTCCGGGTGGGTCTGCAGCTCGGCCGCCGAGACCCTGCAGGGGAGCAGGCAGAGGCTGGAGGGGTGAGGCCCACTGGCTTCCAGCCAGCCGCCCGCTCCCCCCGCCAGGGCCCCCTCAAAACTTGGTGGCAGGAAGGTGGGAGAAGGGGGGCTCTGGGGACCCCCGCCCCCAGGAGGAGCAGGTCCCAGCTGCCCAGTCGCCCGGCTGCTCCCCTCCCAAGGTCTCCACAAACCCTGAAGGGGCTCAAAGGAGGGAGAGAGACAGGGGTGGGGTCAGAAGACCCCTGGACCCTCCCTGTGTCCCCCAAGATCCTGTCTCCTCCCGCCCACCCACTCCCACTTCCTTCCACCCTTAGAACCCAATGCACTGAAACTGCCCTCTGCCTGGCGCCCCCCCCACCCAGCAAAGCCCAAATAGGCATAGTGGCCCGGGCACCACATCCTGTCCCCTACCTGTCACCATCGCCAACTGAGGAATGGCCTGCCCTGCCCATGCTGCCCCCGGGTCCCTCTGAGCACCCTCGGCTCTCACCACCCCACACCTCCCACCGGGTGCCTGCCCAGCCTCCACCAAGCCACGAGCCTGGGGCCAGCCAGCAAGTGCAGGGGCACAGCAGGGTTCAAAGCCAGGGTTGGCTTTCTCCCCAGTGTCCCAGGCCACAGAGGAAGCTTGGGAAAAGCAGTGGGATGGCTTGTCACCTCGCCCACATCCTCCCCCGCAGGGCTGCCCTGCACCCATTCTACACGTGAGTAAGCCGAGCTCACTCAGAAGGGCTTGGGACCAGCTCAGGCCCCCTGGCCAGGAGGGTCCTCTGGCTGGCTTCTGAAGGGGGGGTGGGAGGAGGGACCCCGGCCCACGGCTGCGCGGGCACTCACGTCCCGTCCATGTCGTCGTCCAGCTCCTGGAAGGCGTTGGCCGCCAGCTCCTGCTCGCGCTGGGCCCTGGAGGCGGCCTGCTGCTCTGTGGAGGGGCGGCTCCGTCACCCTCCACCCTGCCCGTGGGTTCCTGCCGCCCCCACCCTGTCTGCCCAAAAACCCCGCGGGGCCCTCTGTTGGGCACGGGGGCCCTAAGTCAGGCCACTGTGGGGACAGACTGGGGGCGGGAGCCAGGCAATGACGAGGCCCAGCCAGGGGAGGGGAGAGGCGGTGGTGAGAAGTGCCCGATTGTGGGGAGATTCTGAAAGGGGCGCTGAGGGGGTCTCATGATGGCTCAGATGCGGGGGTCAAGGTCACTCCTGGGACTTTCAGTTTGAACAAGCAGGGACAGGCAGAGAGCACGTGAGGGGCAGGCAGGGGACCGTGCATTAGATCTGAGAGGCCCCCACGGGAA